ACTAAGAAGTAACTCAGGAATGGAAAACCAAACATCATATGTTCTCATAAGTGGGAGCTAAGCCATGAGAATACAGAGGCATAAGAATGACACAATAGACTTTGGGGACTCAGGGGGAAAGGGTGGGAAGAGGTGGAGGTATAAAAGACTATAAATAGGGTTCAGTGTATACTGCTTGGGTGACGGGTGCACCCAAATCTCACAAATCACCACTAAAGAACTTACTCATGTAACCAAACACCACCTGTTCCCCAATAACCTATGAAAATAAAATAATAATAAAAAGAAGAAAGCATACTAAAATAAAGATATGAACCTGAAACCTGTCATCCACCTGGATATGCTTGCCAGTATGTGACATCAGTAATAACATCATGACTGTAAGACGAGGCACAGTGGCTCACACCTGTAATCCCAGCACTTTGGGAGGCCAAGGTGGGCCGATTGATTTGAGATCAGAGGGTGAAGACCAGCCTGGGCAGCATGATAAAACCCCGCCTATACAAAAAATACAAAAAATTAGCCAGGTTTTGGTGGCTGGCGCCTGCCATCTCAGCTAGTCAAGAGGCTGAGGCACAAGAATCCCTTGAGTCCAGGAAGTGGAGGTTACGGTGAGCCAAGATCATACCACTGCACTCCAGCCTGGGTGACAGAGCGAGACCCTGTCTCAAAAAATAAATGACTTCATGACTGTGGATGGCAGCCTATGATGAATATTAGTGAAGTACCTGTGTGATAACCAAGGCCTGGGGACAGAGAGCGGTGCCTGCTCCATGACTAGCTCTAGCTCAGCTTGAGAATTTAATCACGCCTGTGCTGCTGCTGCCACTGGTTGTTTAAAACATAATTGTTGGCCGGGCACAGTGGCTCACGCCTGGAATACCAGCAGTTTGGGAGGCTGAGGCAGACAGATCATCTGACATAAGGAGTTCGAGGCCAGCCTGGCCAACATGGTGAAACCCCATCTCTACTAAAAAAATACAAATAAATTAGCCAGGCCTAGTGGCGCGTGCCTGTAGTCCCAGCTTCTCAGGAAGCTGAGGCAGGAGGACAGCTTGAATCCAGGAGGCGGAGGTTGTAGTGAGCCGAGATTGCGCCACTGCACTCCAGCCTGGGCGACAGAGCAAGACTTTGTCTCAAAAAAAAAAAAGGTTGTTTAAAACAATTCATCAGTTGATGCCACTGAATCTTGAGCTAGTCAAACATTTGTTGCTAAAAGGTAAAAACTTTCATATCGCTACAAATGATTTAAAATTTTTTACTTAAAAATTAAAAAATAAAAATCGGCCGGGCATGGTGGCTCACGCCTGTAATCCCAGCACTTTGGGAGGCCCAGGTGGGCAGATCATGAGGTCAGGTGATCGAGACAATCCTGGCTAACATGGTGAAACCCCGTCTCTACTAAAAATACAAAAAATCAGCCAGGCCTGGTGATGGGTGCCTGTAGTCCCAGCTACTCGGGAGGCTGAGGCAGGAGAATGGCGGGAACCCGGGTGGCGGAGCTTGCAGTGAGTCAAGATTGTGCCACTGCACTCCAGCCTGGGTGACAGAGCAAGACTCCCTCTCAAAAGGACTAAAAACAAAAAAAAAAAATTTATAGATGAGGTCTTGCTATTTTGCCCAGGCTAAACTCAAATTCCTGGGTTCAAGTAATCACTCCACCTCAGCCTCCCAAGTAACTAAGACTACAGGCATGTGCCACAATGTCTTTTTACTTATTTTATTCTTCTGTCGAGACAGGGTCTCACTGTACTCCAGGCTGGAGTGCAGTGGCACGATCATGACTTACTGCAACCTCACCCCAGGCTCAGATGATCCTCCCACCCTAGCCTCCCAAGTAGCTAGGACTACAGGCACGTGCCACCAGACTTGGCTAATATTTAATTTTTTGTAGAGATGGTGGTGGGGGGGGTCTCTCTATGTTGCCCAGGTTGTATTTCTGTACTCAAGAAATTCTCCTGCCTCGTCCTCCCAAAGGGCTGGGATTACAGGCATGAGCCACTATGCCTGGCTGTTTTTACTTTTTTAAATTTTATATATATTTTTGAGACAAGGTCTGGCTCTGTTGCTCAGGCTGGAGTGCAGTGGCACGATCTCGGCTCACTGCAACCTCTGCCTTCTGGGTTCAAGCAATTCTCCCAACTCAGCCTCTGGAGTAGCTGGGACAACAGGCGCCCGCCACCATGCCTGGATAATTTTTTTGAATGTTTTTGTAAAAACAGGGTTTCACCATGTTGCCCAGGTTGGTCTCGAACTCCTGGGCTCAAGCAATCCACCCACCTTGGCCTCGCAAAGTATCGTGATTACAGGCGTGAGCCACTGCGATCAGTCCTTTAAAAAAAAAATGTGGCGGGGCGCGGTGGCTCAAGCCTGTAATCCCAGCACTTTGGGAGGCCAAGACGGGTGGATCATGAGGTCAGGAGATCAAGACCATCCTGGCTAACACGGTGAAACCCCGTCTCTACTAAAAAAACACACAAAAAACTAGCCGGGCAAGGTGGTGGACACCTGTAGTCCCAGCTACTCGGGAGGCTGAGGCAGGAGAATGGCATGAACCTGGGAGGCGGAGCTTGCAGTGAGCCGAGATCGCGCCACTGCACTCCAGCCTGGGCCACAGAGCGAGACTCCGTCTCAAAAAAAAAAAAAAATTATGCCCCCCTCAATTGCCGTTTTTACTTTTTTATTGAGATGTAACATATATAAAGTACACTAATCTTAAATTGCCCAGTGAACTTTTCCATACATATACACTTGGGTGACAACCACCAAAGAGATCAAGATAAAGAATCCAGCTGGTTGGGAGCGGTGGCTCACACCTGTAATCCCAGTACTTTGGGAGGCTAAGGCAGAGGATCACTTGAGCTCAGGAGTTCCGAGATGAACCTAGGCAACATAGGGAGACCTCGTCTCTACTAAAAATTCAAAAAAGTTAGCTGGGTGTGGTGGTGCACGCCTCTAGTCCCAGTTACTTTGGGGGGCTGAGGTCGGAGAACTGCTTGAGGCTGCAGTGAGTCCTGACCATGTCACTGCACTCCAGGCTGAGTGACAGAGCTGGATGCTGTCTTAAAAAAACAAAAAACAAAAACACGAAAAAAGAATTCAGCATCTCTCTTGCTCTTTCCCTGATGATACATCCCCAAGGGTAGCTCCTATTAGACCCCTATCAGTATAGATTAGCATTGTCTGTTCTTCAATTTCATATCAATGAAATCATAATGTCAAATGCAGTGGCACTTGCCTCTAGGCACAGCTATTTGGAAGGCTGAGATGTGAAGACTGCTTGAGCTCAGGAGTTCCACAGCACTCCAGTCTGGGTTACAGAGGGAGACCTTGTCTCTAAAAAGAAAGAAAGAAAAAGAAAACATATAGTATGTACTCTTTTGTGTCTTTCCAACATTGTATCTATAAGTCATCTATGTTCTTGCATGAAATAGCTCATAATTTTCATTGTCATATAGTATTCTGTCATCTAAATATACCACAATTTATCTATTCTACTGTTGATGGATTTTTTTTTTTTTTTTTTGACAGTCTTGCTCTGTCGCCCAGACTGGAGTGCAGTGGGGCGATCTTGGCTCACTGTAACTTCCACCTCCCAGGTTCAAGCGATTCTCGTGCTTCAACCTCCTAAGTAGCTGGGACTTCAGGCATGTACTACCATGCCTGGATTTTTGTATTTTTAGTAGAGATGGCGTTTTCACCATGTTGGCCAGGCTGGTCTCGAACTCCTGACCTCAAGTGATCCGTCCACTTCAGCCTCCCAAAGTGCTGGGATTACAGGTGTGAGCCACTGCACTGGGCCTATTAATGGATATTTAAATTTTTTCCAGTTTTCCACTATTATAAAGTTGCCATGTACATTACTGTACAAGTCTGTCAACAAAAGACCCTGAGGCCTGCAGAAAAAAAAAAACAAGGAAGAGCTGTATTTTTGGGAAAAAAAAAAAAAAAAATGCAAATTGGGGAACGCTGCTGGTTTACACATTGTTCACTGGAATAAAATCTCTTTCCTTCGAATTCCTTTACAGCCTGTGATCCCAGTACTTTGGGAGGCTGAGATGGGAGGATCACTTGAGGCCAGGAGTTGGAGACTAGCCTAGGTAGTATATCGAGACCTCCTTAGCAAATAAGTTTTTTTTTTTCTGTGGCCCAGGCTGGAGTGCAGTGGCGCGCTCTCGGCTTGCTGCAACCTCTGCCTCCCTGGTTCAAGCGATTCTCCTGCCTCAGCCTCCCGAGTAGCTGGGATTACAGGCATACACCACCATGCCCAGCTAATTTTGTATTTTTAGTACAGACAGGGTTTCTCCATGTTGGTCAGACTGGTCTCGAACTCCTGACCTCAGGTGATTTGCCTGCCTTGGCCTCCCAAAGTGCTGGGATTATAGGAGTGAGCCACCTGGCCCGGCCAATAAAAAAAATTTTAATTAGTTAGGTGTGATGGTGCACACCTGTAGTCCTAGCTACTCAGAATGCCGAGGTGGGAGGATTGCTTGAGCCCAGAAGTTCAAGGCTGCAAATGTGCCACTGCACTCCAGACTGGGTAACAGAGTAAGACCCTGTCTTTTAAAACAAATAAACTAATATAACAAAATTCCTTTTCAGAGAACTTTTTTCACAGTTCTTTGGTGGACCTAGGCATGCATTTTTCTTGGGTGCAAACCTATGTGCAGAATTGCTGGGTAATAAGGGATTACAACATATAGATTTAATCACATGCAATTTTCTGATTTCTTTCCATAGGAACATTTTATTCAGAAATTAAATCATTCAGAGTTCCAGCACTGTCTGGGGCTATCGGGCTCTGTCCACCTCCATAGGCCTAGCACTGTCACCAACGGAGCCCTGGAGGGACCTCGGCCCAAGCTGGGGCGTCTTCATCATCGAAGAAGGCCTCTGGCCAGACCAGGCTCTGTGGGTGCGACCAGGCTGGAGGACTAGGGCGGTGGCAGTGGCCACGTGAGTGCACATGGCTGTGGGTGGTCCCTCACTTGCTCCCCTCCTCTCTTTTGCTACCCGTGGGCCATAGGCAAGCAGGGCACCCAGCCAGAATGGCATGATCCTGAAGCCCAACTTTCACAAGGACTGGCAGTGGCGCAGCTAACCCACAGGGCAAATCTGCAGAAGCAAGGCAGCCAGCAAAAGCAGGTTGCATGGCCCACTCATATGGGCCCATCCGCCCATGGTTAGGTGCCCCACGCTGAGGCATCACTACAAAGCACGAGCTGGCAGGGGCCTCAGCTTGGAGGAGTTAAGGGTGGCTGGCATTCACAAGAAGGTGGCCCAGACCATTGGCATCTCTGAGGACACAAGAAGGAGGAACAAGTCCACCGAGGCCCTGCAGGCCAATGTGCAGAAGCTGAAGGAGTACTGCTCCTCACTCATCATCTTCCCCAGGAAGCCCTTGGCCCCCAAGAAGGGAGACAATTCTGCTGCAGAACTCAAACTGGATACTCAGCTGACAGGACCAGAAATGCCCATCAGCAATGTCTACAAGAAGGAGAAAGCCAGAGTCATCACTGACTAGGAGGAAAACTTCAAGGCCTTGTTAGTCTCTGTATGGCCCATGCAAATGCCCAGCTCTTCGGCATACAGGCACAAAGAGCCAAGGAAGCTGTAGAACAGTATGTTTAAAAAAAAAAAAAAAAATAGGAGGGCCGGGTGTGGTGGCTCACGCCTGTAATCCCAGCACTTTGTGAGGCCGCGGCGGGCGGATCACGAGGTCAGGAGATCGAGACCATCCTGGCTAACACGGTGAAACCCCGTCTCTACTAAAACTACAAAAAAAAAAAAAAAAAAAAAAAAAAAATAGCCGTGTGTGGTGGCATGCACCTGTAGTTCCAGCTGCTTGGGAGGCTGAGGCAGGAGAATGGCATGAACCCGGGAGGCAGAGCTTGCAATGAGCTGAGATTGCGCTACTGCACTCCAGCCTGAGCAACAAGACTCCATCTCAATAAATAAATAAATAAAAATAGGAGGAGGCTCAAGCTGCTGTGTCAGCTCCACGCGGGGTCTCTCGGTCCCTCAGCCATGAGAAGGATGCTCCCCAGACTTGCTCCCTACCCTGCGTCCCTGCGACCATGACCTGTGGTCCGGAAGATGAACTGTTGTGCATCAGATGCCTTTGAGACATACAACTGGAGATGTGAGGTAAGAAATTGAATGTAAAGACTGGAAGCTCAGAAGAGCAGAACTCTGAACAACATGCCTCAGGAGTGCAAGTTGCTGATGAAGTATGTCGCATTTTTTATGACATGAGACTTTGTAAATGCTCAACACCGGCCGGGCGCGGTGGCTCACGCCTGTAATCCCAGCACTTTGGGAGGCCGAGACGGGCGGATCATGGGGTCAGGAGATCGAGACCACCCTGGCTAACACGGTGAAACCCCGTCTCTACTAAAAATACAAAAACTAGCCGGGCGAGGTGGTGGGCGCCTGTAGTCCCAGTTACACGGGAGGCTGAGGCAGGAGAATGGCGTGAACCCAGGAGGCGGAGCTTGCAGTGAGCTGAGATGGCACCACTGCACTCCAGCCTGGGCGAGAGAGCGAAACTCTGTCTCAAAAAAAAAAAAAAAAAATGCTCAACACCAGAAGAAATGAAGAAAAGAAAGAAGACTGTCATTTTTTTGTCTCAGTGCAGAGAAAAAATGCATCATTGTAGAAGGCAAAGAGATCTTGGTTGGAGATGTTGGTGTAACCATAACTGAGCCTTTCAAGCATTTTGTTGGAATGCTTCCTGAAAAAGATTGTCCCTACGCTTTGTACGATGCAAGCTTTGAAACAAAATAATCCAGAAGAATTGATGCTTTTTGTGGGCACCAGAACTAGTACCTCTGAAAAGTAAAATGATCTATGCAAGCTCCAAGGATGCAATTAAAAAGAAATTTCAAGGCATAAAACATGAATGTCAAGCAAATGGACCAGAAGATCTCAGTCAGGCTCGTATTGCTGAAAAGTTGGGTGAATCCTTTTTTTTTTTGACGGAGCCTTGATCTGTTTCCCAGGCTGGAGTGCAATGACAGGATCTCGGCTCACGGCAACCTCTGCCTCCTGGGTTCAAGCGATTCTCCTGCCTCAGCCTCCCGAGTAGCTGGGATTATAGGCATGTGCCACCATACCGGGCTAATTTTTGTATTCTTAGTAGAGACAGGGTTTTACCTTGTTGATCAGGCTGGTCTCGAACTCCTGACCTTGTGATTTGCCCTCTTTGGCCTCCCAAAGTGCTGGGATTACAGGCGTGAGCCACCATATCTGGCTGGTGGATCCTTAATTGTAGCCTTTGAAGGATGCCCTGTGTAGATCATCATTCAGTGCCACAAATTGAAAGCTTCCACGTTTAATGTTATCCTCTTGCTATATAAATAAAGCAAATACATTTAGGCTGGGGTCTCACTGAGGGGGAGCTGTCTTGTCATCTTTTAGAGTAAACTAAATATTCTATAAACATATGCAAACAGCCCTAAATAAATCTAAAGTCTAAAGTAAAAAAAAAAAAAAAAAAAAAGGAAAGAAAAAAAAATAGCTGGGTGCGGTGGCTCACGCCTGTAATTCTAGCACTTTGGGAGGTGGAGGTGGGTGGATTGCCTGAGCTCAGGAGTTCGAAACCAGCCTGGGCATCACGGTGAAACCCTATCTCTATTTTAAAGGTACAAAAAATTAGCCAGGCATGGCAGCATGTGCCTGTAGTCCTGGCTACAAGGGAGGCTGAGGCAGGAGAATTGCTTGACCCTGGGAGGCAGAGGTTGCAGTGAGCCAAGATTGTGCCACTGCACTCCAGCCTGGGCAACAGAGCACGACTCCGTCTCCAAAATAAATGCATAAATAAATAAAGTCCTGTTGAGGACTTGTAATATATCAGCAGTAATGCAAAAAAACAAAACAAAACACAAAAACAACCCCCCCCCAAAAAAAAAAAACCTTCCGATTTTGCAGCATGAAAAACTTCAGTAAATTTATGAAGCTTTAGATTGGTCTTTTCCTTTTTCTTCTTAGGGTGATTTTATCAGTGCCTCAAGATTTTTTATTAGTGTTTCTCTGTGGCTTTCAAAAACTTCTTTATTTTCATGATTATTTCCTTATTTTTTAGATACTGGGTCTTACTCTGTCACACAGGCTGGAGTGCAGTGGCGAAATAGCTCACTGTCACCTTGAGCTATGATCAAAAGATCCTTGGTTTCAGCCCCTCAGAGTGCTGGGATTACTGGCATGAGCCACCATACCTGGCCAGGCCAAGAAGTTACTTACTTTCTTCCTCAATGATGTATAAACAAAGCCATCATGATCCACTTGCTAGGCAACTTGCACAAAGAGTTTCACTTCTTTGTCAATAGAAACCCTTGGCTGGGGCCAGGCGCGGTGGCTCACGCCTGTAATCCCAGCACTTTGGGAGGCCAAGAGATGGGTGGATCAGTTGGGAGTCAGGAGTTCAAGACCAGCCTGGCCGACATGGTGAAACCCTGTCTCTACTAATAATACAAAAATTAGCCAGGCAAGAATTGGCACACACCTGTAATCCCAGCTACTTGGGAAGCTGAGGTAGGGCTTGCTTGAACCTGGGAGGCGGAGGTTGCAGTGAGCTGAGATCATGCCGCTGCACTCCAGTCTGGGTGACAGAGCAAGACTCCATCTCAAAAAACAAACAAAACAAAACAAAAGAAAGAAATACTTAAATCCTGAACACGTTCTTTCCTTCGTGACTGTCAGGCTTCATTACTTTCCATTACCTGTTTGTTTATTTATTTTATTTATTTATTGAGACAGGAGTCTTGCTGTATCACCTAGGCTGAAGTGTCGTGATCATGGCTCACTGCAGCCTCAACTTCCCAGGCTGGTGATCCTTTGCCTCCACCTCCTGATGAGCTGGGACTACAGAGTGCGCACCCTACGTTCACGGCTAGCGTTTTGTAGGAATGAGGTTTTGCCATGTTCCCAGGCTGGCCTTGAACTCCTGAACTCAAGAGATCTGCAACCTCCCAAAATGCTGGGATTACAAGCTTTGTTTCCTGCATACCAACCTCCCCATTACCTGTTTAAATTGAAATGATGTAACCTTCAATATTGAAGGACTTCAGATCTTTACTACGTAAGATTAGGGTCAGCATCCATGACTCTGGGAGTCAAGGAGAATCTCAGCCTAATGTGTGTGGCTTTGAAACAGCAAATGTACTTAGATCATAAAGTGAAGGATGGAAGTAATGTTGGGACAGAAAGCTTTATTCAATGCCTTTATGAGCTCATTCATAAAGTGTGTGATACATCAGGAGTGGTATTGATGTGTCCTGTAGCACAAAGCCATGTTTTTTCTCTTTGAGGTCCTGCTTGACTTCTAGAATGAAGATATTTGAAACTGAATCAGGAAAGTACTACAGTCACCCAGGACTTTTGTTTAGTTGCTAGAGCACAGGCAGGTTTTTGTTTGTTTGTTCGTTTGTTGTTTTGAGAGAAGTCTCGCTCCAGGCTGGAGTGCAGTGGCCCGATCTCTCTTCACTGAAAACTCTCCTCCCAGGTTCAAACAGTCTGTCTCAGCCTCCCAAGTAGCTGGGATTACAGGGATGTGCCACTGTGTCTGGCTAATTTTTGTATTTTTAATGAGATGGGGTTTCACTGTGTTGGCCAGGCTGGTCTTGAACTCCTGACCTCAAGTGGTCTGCCCACCTCAGCCTCTCAAAGGCTGGGATTACAGGTGTAAGCCACCATAATACTTTTTTTTTTTAAAGGGCACAGGATTTGTGAAACGACAGCCCTGTAGAACTACACTGTCACTGCACTTGGGGGCAAAGGGCAAAGGGTTGAGGAATAGCATTCAGATCATTAGTTGCTCAAACCAGGGCCTTGTGTTTCTAGTTTGGAAATATTCAGAAATGCAGTTAGGTATCTTTCCCCAGAAAATACCAACTACCAACCTCATGGTATTCTGGAATAATAATTTTTTTTTTTTTTTTTGAGACATAGTCTTGCTCTGTTGCCCAGGCTGTGGAGTGCAGTGAAACGTCTTGACTCACTGCAACCTCTGCCTCTGGGTTCAAGCAATTCTCCTGTCTCAGCCTCCGAGAGTAGCTGGGATTATGGGTGCCCGCCACCATGCAAATAGTGCGTACTATTACTAGAGATGGGGTTTCACCATGTTGGCCAGGCTGAGGTCTCGAACTCCACCAGCCTCCATGATCAAAGCCCCACCTTGGTGCCAAAGTGCTGGGATTACAGGTGTGAGCCACCATCCCCACGACCTATGCCAATAAACCTTTCTAATAGCTCTGAGTGGGTTGTGCTGTCTGTTCCTCTATAGTTTCACCAATAGTTTATTGTGTTTTTTGAGGTTTAAATGGCTTCTAAATGTTATGCTATCCTTTACTGGTTTTGAAATATTTCCATCCAAAGGCTCACTTCTCTAGTAGGAGGCTTGAACTATGACTTGATATGAAGAGCTTTTTCTTCCCTTTCTTTTTTGCCACATCTTGACATTTGTAAGGCACATATTTCTTTAGTTTTCTTTCTTTTTAATATATAGAGGCAGGGTCTTGCTCTATTGGAGTGCAGTGTTGCAATCATATCTCACTGCAGCCTACAACTCCTGGCCTCAAGAGAAGTTAACTTCTGGTCCTGCCCTCCCAAAGGGTTGGGATTATAGGCATTAGCCACCAC